TCCATATGCCCTTGGATAACATACTTTTCTATATCAGATAGCATCTCCTTTGTTAACTTTCGAAATCGTGGGGCTATTTCTTAGATCATTGGGATAAGCAGATGGTTATGTTCATTGTTAAAAGAGTTAATTTTTACAATGACACTTGTTTTTGGACATGTGATATTAATTTTTCAAGGATATAACGTTCGCTGTGAGTAAGTATTGTGTCTTTTTGTAGGATCTGATGTAACATATAGATTATGAGATCCAGACTTAGTGTATTAGTAAGTGGCCCTTCTCATTACATCTTGAACTATTTCACTTGTTCTAGTCTTGTAATTGAATCCCTCTTTTAATACAAATTGGTGTATCCAATTCTTGAATTCATTCCAATTAGGAAACGTACGTCTAGAAGTTAATTTTAAAAAGTTAGACGGCTCATCAGATTCATCAGTATCACTATCCACAATGGCATTAAGGTCTTCCTGGTTAAGTAAGATAGGGTCAGAGACCAATTTCAAAGAACTAGATAGTTCATCTAATCTATCAAATTTATTATCTATCATAATATTGACATAGTCTTGGTTAGAAAAAGTATGTTCAGATACATTTAATCTGTTGTGCTTGTTATCCACCACAGTATTACTATCTCTACAGTTAAAAAGAATAAATTCAGTAGTTGTTTTTGAACAATCGGAGGGTTCTTCTGATTTGTCAGATTTATAATCCACCAACGCATAACCGATTGATGTAAAGTTTGGTGTGTAAACCTGTTCAAATGAAAATTTTGATTAGTAATAAAAATACAAAATGAAATAAAGATCAAAGAACTCATAGGAAGACACTTTGATTTACTGATATAACCAATTCAAACTACTGTTATTTATATAGTTTAGAGTATCTCCTGTTTGCTAAAATAAGATGAAGTGAATTATGTATCATTAGACCTTCATAGTGCCACATTTTTTAAAAAGTAATCTAAACTGTATAACTATCAACTAGTCTAAATTGATTTGTGTCAGTCAACCGAAGGGAAGTCTTCTTATGACCCCAAAATGGTAGAAATAGTCACGTGGTCTCGCGTCAAAGTTGAAGTGACATCTTTATCATCGTTAATAGTATTTTCTTGACTCATCATCTACATAAGAGGTTTATTTTTTAAAAGAAACTGTAATAACAATATCGCAAGAGGGTAAAAGCGTGAGAAGAAAGAGTGCGAATTTTAACAATCAATTGTTATTTTACTATTTATTTAACTATACGATGATGTAAGCAATCATAACATTTATCATTATGAAAGTGATGATCCATGTTTGCACACTATGTGTAAACTAATAAATTTTCTTATTATTAAAATATAATATAACTAGAGTATTGCTATTTATATTATTATTTTTGTTATTTGTATTATACTAATTGCTAAAATTTTATTATTTTTTTAAAACAAATCTATTTATTATTAGTAGTAACAGTACTAAGTTGCTTATATACAGATTTATCTAAGGGTAGTGTCATTTATCACCTGATTTTTTTTTATTAAAAGCTTACTCCTCTTCCTTTCTCTTACTATATATCTTGATCAGGTCTTTATATATAATTTTAAATTTTTTATCCTCTTCCTCTTCTAAAAAATCAACTGATTTTTGTCATGTCCCTAATAATTTTTTAAACAAATTCTTATAGCAGTACTATTGTTCAACTATCATTTTAATTTCTGTATCAGGCTACAATAGGATTTTATCACTAGTATCTATCTAGTATCACTATTTTTTTTAGTAATAAGATCATAATATTTGGTGATAGTGCAGCTGAGTGACTATAGTATATTATAATATATTTTTTTGAAATGAAAAGATTAAATTAATTTTGTTCTTGCAATATGCAGAAATGAAGTCTAGAGTTGTTAATAAATATATTTTTTATTCATATAACAAAATTATGTGATCTTTACTAAGTTCAAATCGTATAGTTCATTGTCTAGCAAAGATCCCACAAATCAAAAATATTTTTGTTTTATTTTTTTTTATTCTAATGAGCAAAAATATTGACTTATTGGACTAAAATATAATTTATTTACCAAGACAAGCTGATTCATAGTCTATTTACAAATGCATATCAATTTTATTATAATTAAAGACGTTAACTACCTTAAATAAATAAATACCAAAGTAAAGATCAACTATACCTTTGGCCATATTT